ACATCTGTAACTTTAAAACTGGTTTCGTAGCTAAGCTGGCAGTAAGATTAAAAAGTCGAAAGTATCCCTCAGAGTTGATGCCCTAAGTTTGTGGATTTTCGGTGTCCTCTATATAAAATATTGTCAAAAGATCGAAAGGTCAGCTATCTTGCATTGTTCAATGAAGGAGGTACTGGTCCTGCCGCGGGGATTACATTTATCCATGTAATGTTCTACTAATTCTAGTGTTAAATTGCTGCGCTAGTTCGAGTAATTAAGTTGTTAGCTTTATATCTTTATCAATAAAGTAATTACTGTGACTTATAGATTTTCGATTTAAAATAATGTACATTTTTAGGTTGTCTATTTCACTGCACTCTTCCCATACGTGGTACTTGTGATTTTGTTTTTCCGGGGTGTGAGTTTACCAGGAGCTTCTACCGGTATTGTATTCTACCTTAAACCTGATTTTAGTCGACTTGCTAATGCCCAGGTATGTTATCGAACATATTATCTCACTTTGTAATTTAATGTTTGTTGAGAACAGGTAATAAAGTCATTGTTATTTCTCAGGTGTGGGGTGACGCTGCAGTACAAATATTTTTTGCTTTAAGTCCAGCTTGGGGTGGCCTTATAACACTGTCTTCGTATAACAAGTTCTCTAACAACTGCTACATGTTCGTATTATTAATTACTATTTCATAAAAGAATTTTATAAATTCATAGCAAGTTGTTTTTTTAACGAAATCTCTGTTTTTCAGTGATTCCTTGATCGTCGCTGTATCAAACATATTAACATCTTTTTTCGCTGGACTTGTAATATTTTCTGTTATCGGTTTTCTGGCTCATGAGTTAGATCTAGAAGTCGGTAAAGTGGTGGACCAAGGCGCTGGATTGGCCTTCATAGTGTACCCTGAAGTAGTTACGCGATTGCCCGTATCGCCCGTGTGGTCAATACTATTCTTCTTGATGCTACTAACGCTCGGTCTTGACTCGCAGGTATTGTATTGATATAGTTTAGTAGTTTAATGGTAGGTATTATATTAGGTGTTATATGTATAGGTCTTAATTTATAAAGGTATCAAAGTGTGGTTTCATTTTGCGCTATTTGGATTTCTGTAATAAAAAACTTAAATAGTATTACAGGTATCTTCTTGGATTATCATTCTACAGTTTTAAGAGAAAAGTAAGAGAAGTAATTTTTTAACTTTATTTGCGTATAACCGCGCACAGTATTGTTCAGGATGTTACTTTATTACCTAGTTGTTGGAACCGTACTTGATTGCTAAATTCTTGTGTATGTTTGTGGAACTCTAGGTCAAATTATTTCAATCGATATTTTTGTATCATTTACCTCTTTTGTAACTGTTTGTTTATCTTGAATAAAAATAATATAAAATAAACTAGTCATCAATTGCGACCAATGAATAGTAGATTAGTTGAATATACTAAAAGGCTAAGTATTTTCTAAACACTAGAATTCATCTTTGTTTTAATTGGGATAAAAAAATGCATTTTCTCTGTAGTGTAGTGCTAAATATAATAAATAATAAAGCTTGTACATGATTTATTTAAAATTTTTAGTTTGCCCTAATGGAGACAGTCACAACAGCAATTTTGGATAGATTTCCGAACTTCAGACAGAAGAAAGTGTGGGTGGTGCTGACTGTTGCGATCTTCGGCTATCTAGGTGGTCTTATCTTCACAACGAACGTGAGTCACATATAGCCAATGATTTCGGTAATATAGATATAGGTAATATTGAATACGAACAATTCTTTGATTAACAAGTATTTTTTTTACCTGAAGCCCTGCAGTAAACTGTAAAAATCGTCGAGTTGCCAGCTAGTATAACACCCTCTTACAGTCCCGTGTACATTATAATACGTGAAATGATTAAGACCCAGTTAACATTATGCGTATGATCATGTAAATGCCTAGTGTACCTTACATTATAATGAAAATGTCGCATTAAAATTTAGCTCTGTACATCTAAAAGAGTAACGAGGAAAAGGGTAACTTTACTAAGAAAGAGGGTAACTTTTTTTTAAATTTAATGAACTTGCTCTTGACCACTAACTAGATCTGGAGGAAAGATAGGATCTACGATGGAACGAAGTCGCCCAGCAGATGCCTATTCAGTCATTACTGATACTCGGGTTGTATGTGCTCGGAAACACAGTTGCAGGCCGCGAATTCCATGTCTGGGCTCTGAAGTCATTATCAACTTCATGCAGTCAAGGTCTCGGATAACTACTTATCATGCATTAACTGCTTGCAGTCGAAACCGACTTCATGCACCCGAGATCGACTGTATGCAGTTAATGTGTGAAGTTGTTATCAACTTTATGCAGTCGAGGTCTCCACTGCTGTTGATTATGACTTCACGCATTCATGCAAGCAATCTGTTAGCAGCCGAGGATACACTAAAATAATGTAAAAATAAACAATTGTACATGAAAATAGTCTTACGTATTTAATACCCTTACTAAGTTGCTAAAAACGACAATTAATGTCTTGCAAAAAAAGTTTCAGTATAAATTGAATTCCGTTGATGTCTTTTCCTCTATGAAGTTATTTAATACAAAAGATTTCGATGACAACAGCAGACGCTTTTATTACGTTTTGGGTTCACTGGAGAGTTTTTCAGCAAATGTTATTTTCTAACAGTTTGTCCACTGCTAGAAAAACATTTTCCCAAAAAAAGTAACTAAGTTTCACTATAACGCACTTGACAGACGGGCGATTATAGTAAAATAGCAATCTTATACACACATAAAATGATTCTGCCTTTTCCTTCGATGACTCAATCCCTAACTACGGCGTCCACTGAATATCCTAGCCATGAAGCATACGATAAACGCTGCTACCGTTGTGTAGTGGAGGAACATGTATTATCCTTTAATTTATTATTTTTTGTCGCAGAGTGGAATGTATTGGTTACAACTGATGGACAAATATGCGGCAAACTGGTCAGTGCTGATAATTGCAATCGGCGAATGTATTTTGATCGCGTGGATCTACGGCGCTGAGAAGTTTTGCCGTGACATTCAGCGTATGATAGGCAAACAGTCTAAGCTATGGGTCTTCTTTTGGAGCGCCATGTGGCGGCTTGTTACTCCCGCTGCTCTAGTGGTAAATATTAATTATAATTCTTTGTGTCTAACTCTAAATCTAAGGTTTACTGTCCATGGGTGCGTCATTTGACGAATGCATGCAAGCTGCATATGGCGACAGGCGTATTTTGGATTTTGGTTCTGTCCACGTAATTGCCATTCAATCGTCATGCAAGCTACAAACACGGTTCTGTTGCATCAAGCATCGCGAAAGTACTTTTTTTATTGCGAAAATGTCCAATGATAAAGATGTGATTATAGCATTCAACTTTAATGAAAAACGACGTTTACGCTTCTTCTCAAAAAAGAAAATTCTAGGCCCGAGTATGAGAATTAAGGCGTGTAGTTATGTGAATATGCAGAACACTTGCATTGGTTGCATTTAATAAACTAAATTTATCTTCTAATCTTTTTCTGAGCGAAGGGAAGGTAAAAAAGACAAAAAAAGCTTAAATACTAGAAAGTAAAACTCGGATTTTTAAATTATATAAATAAAATTGAGTCCCCGTGGCAAGGTGCCCAAGATGGTGGCAGCGTTCCCCCTTTGTATGGCTATGCTAATGCGTTGGGCTAGGTAGCTGCCGGCCCTTGGGTTTACTAGACATTCTGTTACTGCCTCCGTGGCCGAATGGTTACCATGCCGGACTGCCACGCAGAGGTCCCAGGTTCGATTCCCGGGCCGGAAGAAATAGTTGTATGGCCTACAATTATTTCTCTTGTGAGTTTGGGTGTAATTTGTGGTTGTCTATGTGTGTGTTCATGGCACCCGCGACACAGGGTTTCCCTAGTGCGGGGCTATGTTGAGTGTGGGCGTTATTATGTGCGTTATTATTATTTTTTTATAAATTATGTTGCATATGATTAAAAAAGAGTCAGTGGTACCACGCCAGATGGGAATCTAACTCTGTTTCTTGTATAGAACTTCCTGGAAGCGTGGTCCCAACTAAGCTATCACAGAATTTTTTTGACAAAAGTTTGTCATAAAGAATTTAAAATATGCAAAAAATTAGAAACAAGACATGAGAGTGAAGAACAGTTATTTTCATCAAGTTTAAGCGGCTGCGCAGCAACGAGATAAGCTAGGCTCATTGAAAAAACATTTCTAAAACTAAAAAATATTTAGGAAATGAAACTATTCTTTCCGGATTTGAATCGCGTATATTTGTTTTTTCAAACAAATCGACGTTTCGGGCCCTTTAGACCCATGCAGTCAACCGTGACATGTATAACATATGTGTAACAATCGCGAAAACCTAAGAACTCGATAAAAAATATTTGCTTATATCTCAATGACAACGGCTGTAGCTATAAAAGCTTTACAGAAAAGGTAAAGCTTACCTAAAGTCTTACATTGTCGAATCTGATCATGTTATGAATAGATTCGCAATATTGCAAATTTCAATTTTTTTTTGCTATCGTCTAATTAAATTGGTATGTGAAGTAAAACAATTATTCCGAATAATTTTGACGTGAATCCGTTCATGGTTTGGCTTTTTAAGCGGTATTCTGTCAACTACTTTACAGTTTATCCTGGTCTTCAACTGGATCGAATACAAGCCAGCGACATATGGCCTCTACGTGTATCCAACGTGGGCAGACGCTGTAGGATGGACCATTGGCGTGCTGCCCGTGGTAGTTGTTGTGCTCATGGCTGTTAACCAGATCTGTAGTGGACCTGATGACCTTACTATAATGGAGGTTTGTATTGTTCTGTGGTTTTACGCTTAACTTTAAAAGGCTTGCTCATTACTTACAGCGGTGTGGAAGTGGATATATCATGCACAATTTGAAAATTTAGTTTCATTCTGGATACATAAACAAGGATTATGTTTTATTTAGTGAATTTATTAATTACAGAAAGCACGCGTCCTATCTCGACCGACAGAGGAATGGGGACAACAATCAATACCAGGTTCATGCCCGGTTACGCTGCGTGCAGATACGGAGTTGTCCCCGCCGGTGCTACTATTGCATGGCCGGCCGGTGCTGCGCGAGCGTGGGGCATGACCCCCGCACACGCACCCGCTTGTCGCCATGAGAAAGGTTATTTAAGCATTCGTGAATCTAGGGTTTCAGATAGGATTTTGAGTTTGTTTTCTTAAGTAATCTATGAAAAAAAGTTAGGGAAGCATTTGTATATCTTTGGAATTATTGGAAAAGTTTAAACATAGTCACAATCGAAACCATCAAGTACTAAACTTTAATGGTAATAATTTAGTTTACACACTACCCTTTAACAATTGTTTCAGACGTCATTCGACGGCGGAGACATTGCGTCTATTACAAGTGGATTCGATAATGACAGCAAAAAGCCTCTTGCAGGAATACTGAAAACGAAAAGAAATTCTATTAAGAAAAAAGTACAGAATTTCAGTCTAGATTCAGATGATGGTGTTATTGAGCCTCTTTTACAAAAAGTTAAGGAAAACACGGAGACAGGAAACCAAAGTGCCAAAAATCTGTTGTCAAAAACAAAGAATGACTCCATAATTGAAAAGGGAGACGACAAGGAGAAATTACTTGCAGATAAAAAATCAGGCATGCCATCTATGACTAACATTCCTAGTATAACAAATAACGCATACTTAGTTAATGGGTCACACAATGTGAAAGTTTCCATTAAATCAAATGGAAGCAGCACAATGCCAATGCATTCTCATGGGAATACCAGTATGTTTAACAACGATGCATTGCAAGGTACGTACCCACCTAAAACTCAAATACTTGTAGGAATTGAATCAACTAAACTATCGAACTACAGCCCTAGTCCACTGATTTTCACTACGGCTAAAATTCACACGGATGGAAAATCAAAACAAATGGAACCAGTACATGTTACTCCTGTACCGATTCTATCCACTATCGAAGCCAACGTTATTAAAACTGGATCAGTTATTGATTACACTACAGATATTAATGAAACATTGCGAAGAGATAATGAACAAAATATGCAAAATAATATATTCAGTAAGAATCCAGTCGGTTCAGTACCGTTCCCGCGTGTTACAAGTAATACATCTTCAGATGCAGTTACAAAAAAAAGTTCAGGAAACAAAGTTATAATAACTTGTGCAACTTTAATCCAAGTATCTCAAGCACCAAAAGTAAGTGATGTTAAAGCAACTGATGTTAAAAGTGCTCCCGTAACATCTACTATAAATATAACTCAAAGTACGCTACTCAAAAGTGAACAATCTACTAGAACTTCTGCTAAACATATTCAAGATAATGCTAAATCGACTGCTTTAAATGAAAATCCAAAGAGTGCTTTAGAAAAAATAACGCCATTAATGTATAATATTAAAACAGATTACTCAATTCTTACACCAATTACATCAAGTGTACATGGTATTAATAAATCGGATAATATGATTCACAAAAAAGTATTAGAAATGGATATTAATAAGAATATTCAAAGCCCAAAGACTATTACTTCACCAGTAGCAGGAACTTCGAACCTAATCGATTCTTCCTCTAGCATAAAATACATACCTGATTCATCTGGGACAGGTAGGTTCACCAGACAAGTGAGTTGCTCATTGAAGGACAATAAAATACAAAGTAAAAAATACGAAACAGCAGAAAGATGTTTTGAACCTGATAATAAACTAACTGCATCAAATCCAAACAAAACCAATAAGACGTCATCTTCAAAGGTAAACAGTGACCGTAATCTAGCGTCAAATGGCCTAAATTTACAACAGCTGACGGCCAAGTCGATTACTTCGAGTATTACTACAGCCGCTTCTTCTGTAATTTCGTCAATTTCATCTTCTGAATCACCACAAGCTCAAATTGTAGCAACTTTGTCTAAAGCTATAGCTATTACAAAAGATTCGCCAGTTTCTGTAGTCAAATCTTTAACTACTAATGATATAATAAATTCGACAAGTAATGTGGTGAAGATGACAACCAATGCAGATACACATGTATCAAATTCGGAGCAGACCCAATCGGCGGCAATTACATATACGACTATCTCTGCGTCAGCTGTTTCCAAATCTTTAACAGTATCAACTGTCAAAACTCCAGCGATGATTACAACGTCTCAATCGGCCGCCACAGCAAAAAATATAAAAATTTCTGTAGCTAAACCATTAATTACCAGCAGTCTCGTAGCAGAAGCTATGTCGGTGAAAATGACAACGACGGCTGCTAACTCAACTTTATCAAGTATCGTCAAAAGCCAGCCAGAGGCCGATACAAAATCAACCTGCTCAGTATTTCCAGCTCTATCTAAACCTTCGTCAATTGCAACTGCTAAAACTCCAATAATAACGCCCCAATCGATAACCACAGTATCTCAAACATCTTCAAAATCCACTACAACAAGCGCAAAATCAACAACTGCTCCGAGAATGCCCCAGAATTCCACAGCAAAAAATGTAGTAGGTGACGCTATACCTACAGCTACGAAACCGTCAACAGTAACAACTATGAAGTCATCAGCGGGACAAAAAGTCAACACATCCAAACTAGCCACACCGAAATCTTCAGCCGCAGTTGTAAGTACTGGTAGCACTACAAAAAAAGTATCTAATGAGCAAAATGGTAAAAAAACTAGTGATGGGTTCTCCGAAGAAGGCAAAGGTTCCAAAACCTAAAATCATTTGTTGTTAATTAGGAATGAATACGCTCAACATAAGGTAATATTTTAATGCTTTTTGTGTCTAAAAACATTGCTATGAAAATTTTGATACAATAACAAATAACCAATACTCATACAAGATTGAATCTTTGAACTGTATTTTAAAGATTGTGATCTTAATATACAATCGCATTTAATTAAGTAATGAGAAGCCTCCAAAACATTCCTCGACACTTTTAAATGAATGATCGGTAAAAAATAGATGTATGTCATGAACTGAATAGATGATAATGTATTTTGTCTGCAGGACTGTGAGTGGATTTGCCAAATTAGTGAATAAATATTTAATGATTGCGATTTGGACTATGTTAGGTTTGGCTAATAATTAACCATAACCTAATATGTTATTTGCTCATGAAACATAACGCAAGGAATTGAGAATTGAAATGTAACTGAATAATTTTAAACGAGTGTTCAGAGATTTATCAACTTATGAATGAACTAATTTGTACCACACGTAAGTGGTTTACTATTAAATAAATGATATTCTTTCCTAAGTAGTATTGAGTAAAAATTCCCAGTAATTACAGTGTAATAATAATATAGAAGTTTGTATGGTCATGTATCATGCTGTGGAATGTGTAGCTTAGGTGTGGTGGTAGGTTAGTGGTGCTAAGAATACAACAATATTTTTCATAGACAATATTGTAATATTTTCGATGCCATTTAGAGATGATTTGTTTCGTCTCACTGTGTCAATTTATATCATTATTTATGAAAAAAGTGTCAAATATTGAATATTTTTACCTATTTATTATATTTTACCAAAATATGTCGAGAGAGAAATGAAATACGCAGGGTAGCAACAGATAATATGAAAATTACATACGAGATAAGTACTGTAGGTCGATGCTGCATGATAGATCGACGTCTGGTTCAATATAATTTATTTAAAAGGCTGTATTTAAAATATTGACTATATTTGTATATGTTCAGTTACTTTGTAATTAAATGAATTGTCGAATATCCTTACAAATCGCTAATCTAATTTCAATGAGGTGACTTTGTTGTTTGGAATGTTACTATTGATCACTAACGCGTAATATACGTATGTCACGTCCATTTAAATTATTCAACATATTTAGACAATCCGTCTATTATTGCACAAATCCAAACTCAAAGTACTATCTGTTCTGGGACACTATTCCACACATTAAGTACTGTTACTAAACTTTGCACGAAGCAAATAATCTTATAGTATAACTTGTTGGGTAAGCAAAATATCTAGAAACTAAAAACTCTTTCCTATTTGAGCAAAGAAGTAACTGTAGAGAAGAATATGTATGTACTTCATGCTCTTCTGAGATGTAGATTATTTTAGGATTCAATTTATCCGTATTGGGTGTAATGGGGTAGTCATACGACAGCGACAGGTTAATTTATTTTTAAAATTATATAGTAGCCTCGAATATTAGAATTTTTGCACTACAAGTTCAAATGTTGAGTAAAATCAATTAGGTACAATGAATTTGCGTATTGAGTACGAAGTTGGGTAGGAATTGAACTAATGTCTTAGGGTATCAAATTAGGATTTTAGATGTGTCGTTTAGATATTTTACTCAAATTCTAGATTTAATAATTAGAGTTTATGAATATTCAAATTGGTTTGTTATAGTTTTTTTAGAAGAGTTTATTTTGATAAATATCGTGTTGCACCCTATATAATTTTATAATAATCTTACCTCTTTATACAAAGTATACTTTACGTATTTGCTTTTAAATAGGCAGGTCCGTTTGTTTTCTTCCGAGTAGTAAGTACATGTACCGGAGTTTTCGTATGTGGTAGCTAAGAGTTTAAATGAAGTAGTCATAGCGCCTTGGAGTAGCTGCCTGCGCACTGGACGATAGTTGATAGAGACACAGGAACAATAAGCGGTAGGTCGGGACGAGGGTAGGCAGGGTTACTAGGAGGAAGGACGGACGAGATGCTGTTGGTAGAGTTATCACTTAAATACGTATGTTTCTACAACAATTATAAAAGCCTAATTAAATAGAAATATTATTGTTATACTTGATGTATTTTAGAGAAATTATTGATTAAATCGATGTTATATAGATGTTTATTGTAAATATTAGATAATATATATATTGAAGCCAAAGAGGAGTACATGTACGACGAGATGTCTACCTGGAGAGTGTTATTAGAAGGCTGTATTTTTGGGTGATATTTTAGAGAAGGAAGGCACCATATCTTTGATAATATTATATCCCGGGGTAAAAATGGAAAAGAATGGCGTGGAAATGCTAACGATATGATCAATGCTAAACATTTAGTTTTAGTGTTGTTGTGCTATTAAATAAATATGTTGAATGTGGTTATTGGTTGTTTTACTATACAATGAATCCCTAATATTTGCGACCTTGTGTTGGCATAATTATATTAGTACATAAACACATAAATCGTAATATAAAATACAACCGAGTCAATGCTCGCTGTTTGTTAAGTATCCATTCGGAACGTACAGTTAGGCGGCTTGTACACGCATAGCATAACTTCCATTGCCTACGAATCGCCATGCGAAGGCTTTTATTGTTGGTGACGTCGAACTTTCTTCTGCTTTTATTTTATCATTCGAGTCGGTTGTTCGGGGAGCACGCACGTCCCTCCGCTCTGCCTCCGGCTGCCAGTCGCGAACGCGCCGTTCACGTTAGTTCAACTCCGCGGAAAGCGCGAGCACTGTCATCGCCGTCACAAACCAACCGTGAATTTGTTTTAAAACAGTAAAATTTTTGCTTCCGAAAACAATACTTATGCACAAAATGAAACTTTGAACAGTGCGGCAGTGCTCAAAAAACTCACGACACGAGTGAAATGAGACGTTGATCAACAGCGATAATGTCCAGTTATTTTTATTTTATAAAATTCACCGTTGTTGGTGGACTTTGCCAGTGAATACGTTTACCTATTTGGAATTAAAGCACAGGTACGTAAGCATTCTATTGGTATAATATTTTTAAGTCAAGTACCTATTTATCAGTCCGTAGATAAAATCTCTTGATTTTCAGGTTCGACTGAAATTGATATTGTCCGTCAACTTGTCGCTTTATCTTCAGTGTTAGATTGAAAGTAATTGTATTGCGTATGATGGCAAGTGGTATGACCTTTTATTTTAGTTTTGTAATATTATTATACATAATATTATGTAAAATATATGCTCCAGTCGTTAGCTCCACTGCTATATTTAATTAATTGTTTGCAAATATTAAGTAAATCGGACTTAGCTTTTGAAAATAAAGCTCGTACTTATTTTCAATCTACATTTTTATTATTCGGACCATTACCTATACATACTATTTATCCATATTTACAGTCCTTATATTAGTGCCCCTGCGGCTTACAGTAGTAATTACAAACTACCTACTTTACTACGCAGATTGTAGATGTCTTCGACAGGATAAAGACAGTTACAAGCCTATCTACTTATATTATTTACACGTATTTTTCTTACGAGACGGAAACCAGTCTCGTTTCCTGGCGCAATTACCTTAAATTAACTTTTCTACATATATACGAACGAGACTTGAGGTAGTATTATTAAATCCTAGTATATTAAAATGATTGGACAATTTCATATACATAATTAACAATGACATACGTAAGGAACTAATTATTTTGTATGTCTATAATTTCAATGTTATTGTTTTCAATGCAATTAGATAAGCTAGGTACTTTTATTGAAACTAAAACAGTTTAGTCCCCAATTAAAATTTTTGTCCTCAGTCCCATGACTGAAAATTTTAAAAATAATGGCCATCCATTATTTTTAAAATTTTATTGTCTATCACTTTAAGTTTTTGTGACCCTTCACGTTACTTAATTGAACAGTTTGTAAGAACGTTTCTTTCACTTTGATACAGAGTTATAGAGTAGGCGTTAATTAAAAATATTAAATTTATGACGTTTTCCAATACCCTGTATTGTGGATAACAAAACACACTGGTTGTATATAAGCGTGTGAACAGAAAACGTCGTGGTCTTGCTCGTCAGCTCACTTTCCATCCATTCATGGAGTCTTCAACTTTTTTAAACGATTTTCTCTCATCGGCACCATACATATGTTTTAATTATCGACAGCTTTCTTTGTTTCTTACTCTTGTAACTTTTACAAGAGAAATTAAGTATAGGTGCTGTAGGGTTGAGGTGTCTCTCCCTTGGTGTCTCTTTGCTGCCATTGATCCTATAGTTGTATGCTTCTCAGATATTATTTCCTTAACCAAATTTTAATATTCATCATTGTTCGCTGTTTCACTGTTTAAAGTAATTTAAAAACTTTTCACAGTACAACGTCGAGAGAGGGTGCGATTCGTAATATATAACAACAAATGACATGTTTTAGTCGATATAACGCTCAACAGATAAAATTAACTTATGGTATACAGACATTTAATATATTCTTGCATGATATGAAGGTCACTAGGTATAATAGACGATTGATATAAATAACAACTTTCAATCTAATATACCGATGGCATAACGTTCATTTTATATAATTACTTCAGATAAAACATTCACTGAGTAAAATATTGAATGTACATGTGTGAAAAAAAAATTTATATAATTCCAGTGGTGTTTAGGTGCAACGGTGAATGAACCGATTTGTTTGCATTTCCTAGTTGGTTCGACTTAGGTCGTTTGGTTAGTATATGACAAAGCTGCCAGAACCGAATTTGTTTGCATTTGCTAGTTGGTTCGATCTCCTCCTGTGGGTTTAGGTTAGGTTAGTAGGTATATGACAAAGTTTACATTTAATGGAATAAAAAAAAATCTTATCAACATAATGTAGGGCGATTCAAGTATTCATAAAACGAAATATTGTGTTATATTATTTTATATATTATACTGGTAGTACTTATACCATTTGTTTATTATGTTACTTATTCATTATATCTAATGTTTGTTATACTGAAGGTTCATTATACATATTGAAATTATGCCTTTTTTGTTATACCTTATATACAGTGAGTGATTACATCCTTAGAAATTATATCAAATGTTATTATACCAAGTGAAAATAAATTATTTGTTGTTATATGTTCCATTACACACCCGTCGAAAGAACCGTGTGTAAATTTTTTTAGTAATTCCAGTTCTGATGTATGGTGGAATCTCTTTTGATTTTTTAATACTTTTCTATGGTACCAAAGCTGATCATCGATTACCCCCACAGTGTCTACCTTCGTGTCTTAGACAATACCGTAACTTATTTATTATTTATTTTAGAATTTTAAAAAAGGCACATTTTTCTTAACTAAACATAGTCATACAAAACTGTATATATACAGTATGACTGTAGGATCGAAACGTGTCTCAATTGAGCAAAAAGTTACGAACTGACACAATGTGGTTCAAAATAACTTAATTTTAAATTTTATTTCTTGTATCAAACAAGAAATAAAATTGTTACTATTCAACAAAAAATTGTGAAATAATGATCTTTCAACATTTATTTAAATTTGCATATTTTAGTTTCATGTCCAATAACTTCTGGTAAGCTGTTTAATATGTATGGAATACATTTCTTTAAGGTTCTATCTCCATAGTAGTTAGTCACTCTTGGGATTACAAATTTATCAGAGGACATTGACTTTGTATTAAAGTTTATAACAACCGTATACAACAAAGAGTCACGTATCTCTGCACTATGATTATTGATAGCCAGAAGATATTTAATTTATGTTGTAAACTAAAAGGGAAGAATTTTACAAATATTGAATAATTTGGTGTCAATAGTCACCATTACATTTGACTTTTGTTTTTTTGTTTACAAGAAATTTTAAAAACTTAATTTGCATGTTTTCTAGCATAACAATGTATGATTTAAATGTAAGTCCATAGCTATTAAGGACATGTTTAGTATGGAGTCTACCAATCCCATATACAAACATTGTAATGTGCTGGTTGGCACTTCAAAACTGAAGTGATAGAATTAACCCAATAGTATTCTCAGTTGTTACAAATAAAATCTATGTTAGTGACTCAAGAAAAATGTTCATCTACTTTTATTCCGAGATAAGTAACACGTTATCATTTGCACGTGTTGCTCGACGCTGTAACTTGCCATTACTGAAAAATAAATAACAGATTGACAAAAGCAGTCTTAACACTACTGTCAAAATCAACCTGTCTTTAATAGAATACCTCTTATTTTTATGTTTTTCAATTGGCTTGCATCTACAATTAATCAAATATTATGTAAACATACAAATTAATATAATACACTTTATATTTCTTTATTACAACAAAATAACAACAACATCATCAATCCATTTATACGTCCCACTTCTGGCCACAGGTTCAAGCGAGAGTTTAGGCGGGTTGCGAATGCGGGTTGGGGACATTGCACGTTTTCCGAAGGTCCTTCGATGTGCAGGTTTCATCACGATGTTATCCTTCACCAAAAAGCTCATAGTAAATTTCAAATAAAATATCAACGAAAAATCAAACATTATTTAGTATGTTACCTACTTAGAGTGAATATTAAATGTTACGAGATGCTTTTGCGAGCGGTGGGAATACCGCGTGACAACGCTGAGACACGAGCGCGAGCCTACAGGTGTATCAACCACAAGATGTGTCAGATTGCGTAAAGCTGCGCCACTTTTGATCTTTCCCATTGCTTATTACACAAGTTTCGTATTTATTATCTTGCTTTGTAACTCAAACTTAATCAAATACATTGTTAAACCATAGGCACTAAATTAGGCATATCTTTCTTGCTACCGAATTCCTATTACTAAATAACAAATGAACGACTAAACTAAAAACAAAAGGAATGTTACCCAACATTCCTTAAACAGGCTACGGATTGAGTCCCACCTGGTCGGCTAAGTGTTCTAGGGTATGCAGTTGGTTATCTATGAATAGTATCAAGTGGGTTCGTACTCTGGAGGTCGGATGCGGTTAATTGGCGAGAGCCCTGACGGCCGGTTTGATCGTTTTGCTTTCATTATTTACACTATTCATTTATTGTAGTATAATCTAGCTTTGCGCATATAGTTGTAATGTAGATATAACATTTTTCGAAAATTTTGTCATGTTTTATCATTTTATCAATTGTTAAATGTCTGCAACATTTTTAGTTGTAACATGTAACGCATCCTTCAAACAAGCGCATGGCACCGGTTTCCCCGGTTAAGCCGGAAATTGGAGTCCTCTTAGCTGTAAACCGCGTTACCCCAAGTTTGGTTTCGTATCCTAGCAATATCGATTTACAGTTTAAAACAATACAAAACACGCTGGAATATTTGAATAACAAAAACCTGTGTTTTGCAATCGCCAAACTTTGTTTGCAAAACTAAGTTGGTACCAGTTGCGTTTCATTATTATGTTATAATACAATTCAGTTGTTTAAAAACTGGGACAAACTAAATGTAACAAGTTGACGTGTTAAAATCATCTCTCGACTTCTTTCAGTAATATGAGCGATTCCTAGAAACGTGGGAAAATGTTACGTTTTTGCGTTTCGTTCATTGACCTACCAACAAAGTTTCGTTGTATGACTTTCAGGGTCAAAATGGTTAAATAGCCTAAAAGACAAATATATTTTATATTATATATTAATTTTTGTAATTTATGTGGCGATTTGGTCGAGGCCATTACTCTTGACTAGACGAAGAGCAAATAAAAAACTGGGAACAGTTGTTGACCGGGGCGCAACGGGGTGGCCGCGGCGGGGATTCACGGTTGAGCGCCCTCGCCACCTGCGCTTAAGTGCCACAATAAGTCCGATATAGCACTGAACACCATTATAACTGCTTCCATGCATTTACACAACATCTATTGTTCCATGTAAGTACTCCATCCGATATAATAGCAAGTACCCCCAAATTATGATTGCTAAATTTTTTTCAATGTATGTTCAACATGTAGGTCACCATACTAATAAATCTTATTCCAATTATTAAATGTAGCATCATCTACGAA